ATAAGTGGCTGGCTGAGCGTTTCTGCACCGGGTTGCACGACAGGTCCCTACGTCACCAACTGGCCGGGATGCTGCCCTGCAGTTTCACGGATGCCATGAACAAGGCACAGTTTCACGAGTCCCTGGATTCGACGGACGATCGCGACGAGTATGGACAGGCCACTTTTGTTCGGCACTGAGAAACGTGTCCATTACCGACAGCAAAGCATCTAACCTCAACTCCACTCCGTCCAGGCTAGATTGTTGGTACTGCCGTCGCTTTGGAAATCGTGCGCGATTTTGCGGACATAACCCACCGATCAAGCCGCGACGTTCGCAAGGTAAGTCACGTCTTAATCCATCCGGCTTCCTTGCATCTACTTTTGTTCATGACGCTCCGTTTCGATCTTTAACCACCGTTGGCTGCCTCAATGGTTTTAACATTCAGTTCTTGCTTGACACAGGTGCGTCATGTTCGTTGTTGCGTCTAGAAATAGCCGACCGCCTCGGGGGTCGCCACGCAACTACTCAGAGAAGGCCACGAGTGTTAACGGCCAACGGGGCTGAGTTGCCCGTCGAATTCGCAGTGTTGGCTAGAGTTCAACTGGAACATGTTACCGCAATACATGAGTTTCTAGTTTGTCGTAACCTAAGTTGGGACGCCATCCAAGGGATGGATTTTTTGGCTAAGCATGGAAGCTTGCTGCAGCTTGGTACCGCGAATCTATTACCAAAGTCCACTCCTGTCAACACGCAGCTGTGTCACTCACAGGGAGTATGCGCAGTTTTAGAAGCCACCTCGATACCATCACAGTTTAAGACTGATGTCATTGAGCCTTTGCGTAACCACAGTGGTATTTCCCCAGACTCAATAGCCTCACTTCTCTCCATGCTGCGTAATTATGAGGATCTGTTTTGCGACACTCAACTTGGGCGCACCAACATCATCCAACACGAAATTGATACAGGGAGTCAGCATCCTATTCGCCAGCGGGCGCGAAGAGTGCCCATTCATTGCGAAGCCCAGCTAGATCGTATGAACCCAGAGATGCTTGATATGCGCGTTATTCGCCCAGCGATATCGCCTTGGTCGTCTCGAATTGTACTCGTGAAGAAGAAGGATGGTTCTCTACGACTTTGTGTAGATTACCGAAATCTAAACGAAGCCACCCGTATAGACCTCTTCCCCTCCCTCGCATTGACGCCACCTTTGATGCTCTTCATGGTTCACGATGGTTTACTACTCTCGAGTTGGCCGCCGGGTATTGGCAAGTGGAGGTCCGTCCGTCCGATAGGGCGAAAACCGCGTTCATTGTACCATCCGGGTTGTATGAATTCGAGACCATGCCCTTCGGGTTGGCTAATGCCCCAGCCACCTTTCAGCGCCTAATGCAGAAAGTATTGGAGGGCCTCTTACCCAAGGAATGTTTGATATATTTGGATGATGTGATAGTGCATGGTAGGTCGGTCGAAGAGCACAACACCCGTCTACGTACAATTGTGGAGCGGTTACGGCAGGCTGGATTAAAGCTGAAGGGACGGAAGTGCCGTTTTCTCAGCGGGCATGTTAATTTTTTGAGACACGTAATAACGCCAGATGGCATTCAAACCGACCCCGACAAGTGCGAACGGATAAGGTCGTGGCCACAACCCAGCGCAGTTGATGAATTGAGTAGTTTTTTGGGACTGGCATCTTACTACCGGAGATTTGTGCGCAATTTTGCCTCGATCTCTCCGCCTTTACATCGCCTGACGGAAAAAGGGGCGGAAGTTTGTTTAAACGGACGAGTGTACCAGTGCTTTCGGACGACTGAAAGAATGCCTCACGTCGCCACCGCTGTTAGATCTCCCGGATACTTCCGAACGAGCAGGGCCTTTTGTCCTAGACACTGACGCCAGTAACGAGGCGATTGGCGCTGTTTTGTGGCAGAAAACTTCTATTAGGGAAACTGTGATCTTTTATGCTAGCCGCCGACTGGACAAGCGAGAGCGTAAGTATAGCGCAACGAGACGTGAGATGTTGGCTTTGGTGTATTTCTTGAAGCATTTTTGACCATATTTACTCGGAAAACCTTTCCTTGTGCGGACTGACCATCAATCTCTGCAATGGTTACAAAACTGCCGTGACCCGGAGGGACACTTCGCGCGGTGGCAAGAAAGCCTACGAGAGTACGATTTTACCTGTGAGTACCGGCCGGGAGCACGGCATGCCAACGCAGATGCCCTTTCTAGAATTCCCGCTCTAGACAAAATAAATGCAGTCCTGCACCACTCGGAAACTGATACAACGGGGTCAGTGGATCCAGCCCAGGACCCATATTTATCTAACATTTATATGCGGCAAGTGGAGGGATCGTCTAAACCATCGGGTACGGAAATGCAATCCCGTACGAAAGACGAACGCTCACTATGGGACCACTGGAGCCGATTAAGAATCATTGGTGGGACGCTGTTCCTCATGGATGACCTGGGCCCGAAAGTGATTGCTCCTATGTCGTGAGTGCCGGGCGTACTACAAGCAGTCCATCAGCAGTTAGGTCACGCTGGCCAACTAAAGACGGAGACAGCCATACGTCAACGGTACTGGTGGCCAGGAATCCACGCCGACGTCGTGGAGCTATGTAACGCCTGCGACATCTGTGCCGCTATCAAATCGAAGACCCCCTATCCCGGGCCCTATTGGAACCGATAGTGGCCACGTCCCCAGGTCAGCGAGTCGGAGTCGATCTAATGGCGGCTTTGCCAGCCACAAGGAATGGGAACCGCCATCTCCTTGTTCTTATAGATTATTTTACGAAATGGTGCGAGGCCATACCTATCAAAAATCCGGATGCGGCAACAGTTGCGTCAGCCATCGTAAATGAGTGGATTGTACGCTATGGAGCACCGCTGTCACTGCATTCCGATCAAGGCGCCGTCTTCGAGAGTCACCTGCTTCAGGAGGTGTGTCGGTTGCTCTCGGTGAGGAAGACACGTACCACATCGTATCATCCACAAGGGAATGGATTAGTAGACCGCACCAGCCGAAGTATAAAAGGGATTTTGCAGTTTCCTGGAGCGGCACCAGTCAGATCGATGGGACGAAGCGAATCCACAATGCGTGGTGGCGTATCGAGCGTCTGTGCATGCAACCACAGGGTATTCTCCAGCCTTCCTGACGTTTGGTCACGAGCTTCGTTTGCCTCTGGAGCTGATATCCCCTATTCCCCTAATGGAGGCTTGTTCTCTCTTAGACTACGTACGACAGCTTGGCGAACGTCTTCGATCGGCCTTTCTGTGTGCGGGAGAAAACGCAAGGATAGCACAGCATCGTCAGAGAGTATGTTATGATCGGAACAGTAGGGGCCCTGAATATCACATTGGAGATCGCGTATGGTTGCACCGCCCAAGATCTCCGCCTGGCGCAGCAGCGAAGTTTCAATGACAGTGGCAAGGGCCATGCGAGATCGTGTTCGTCCGAGATGTCGCTCAACCAAATTCCGACGTTCTGACCGTGCATTACAATCAGCTGAAACCAGCGGGATCTTCAGCCTCTACTCCGAAGGAGAAAGTCGTCCCACCCGGATGCCTCCCGATCGTGGAACACACTGTGGAGACACACCCCGAAGGCGGCTGGGCGAGTATTCAGGGCACTGAGACACTGAGGACAGTGTCTTCGCCGGAAGGGGAAGGGGTGTAACGAAATCGAAACGGCCATGGGTCGTTTTAAAGACTACTTAAATGATCGCTTTCTTTTTTCTTTCATTTGCAAACTCTCGAGAAACCACAGATATATGAAAACGCACGAAGGCACTTTACCGACCCAAAACTTACATCTCCTTTTTGTTTTGATTGTCTTATCAAGGTTCTGCACACCTCTGTTTTTCCTGTTGTGGATAAACGTGCTTCCCCCGTGTCCGCTCGTTTTGCAAGTGTCACGCTTCGTATTGCGATTCTGTGAGTGCCCGGTTGCTGTGTGTGCTTCTCGCGTCGTGCGTCCGCTGTGATTGACTCCGTGCTGCTTTCTACCGCCGTTGATTCGTTCCGTGCCCGTTTTCTAGCTCCCGCCGGAACCCCATTCCAGGAACCTCATTACAGCTCGTCTTCCGTGGTTGATGCGACATAGACGCAGCACCGTTACCCCGCAAAACTTAGTGCGTAATAAATAGTTTCGAGTTATTTTATGGCATGATTCCTGGCTATCTTACTGGCTTTGTTGTTTTATTTAATTCTGTGCAAATCTGATATTGCATTTGTTTAAATTTGTCGGAAGCCAGATACGCACCGTTACCCCGCAAATCCTAGTGCGTAATAAATAATTTATGGTCAGTTTATGGCATTATTCCCGGCTGTCTTTCTGGCTTTGCAGTTTTATTTAAATCTGTACAAATGTGATTTTGCAATTGTTTGAATGTGTCGGAAACCAGATACGCGGTACAAAAAGTATTTTCCAATCCGTATGCCATGGAGTCTCATTTCCGGAGAATCTTCCTTGGGCTTTCTTTTGACAGTTTTGACGAGTTTAATAGTTTGTTTTCAGACTTTATGCTTCTTCTGTATTTTAATTTCGTATGCTACAACAGCAGAAAGTGTAACCTGTCAAGGGTGAAGTACGACAGGGTAATTTATCGATGTGTCCGCTGCGCACGTCGGAAGACAAAAAGTACAGGAGTGTGACGTGTTTAGTAGCATTTCGCTTCTATTGTTCTAAATCTTTCAGCTCACGTGATACTATCTGCCAAGCTCGCGTTAACCTTACTAGAACGGGACTCAAGCTGAGTCACAACGTTCGATTTGTCTCACAATCACCAAGTTAATCGCCTTCCTTTTGAGCGACACCCAATCAATCGCCGTCTGATGGACGATGAGTTCACTCAGTCCGTGGACCTTTTCCGCTACAACACCTCAACAAGCGACATCAAACAGTTCGCCGAGGTTCGATTCAGAAAGCATATTACCAGCGATGATGTCCGCAATGTTCGTCGTAAACTGAGACCTGGCGTAGAGTGTAAGCTTTCTTTGATAATCTTTACTTCCTGCAGTAAAATTGCGTCAGGTTATCAAGTTTATTGCACGTGCACTTGGTACTGGTGATCTATTTCCTTACCTTTCATCGTTAGGTTGTCAAAGGGAGCCGTGGAGTTCCCCTCAAACGGAGGTATGGTGCAGAATGGAGTGCCAAAGTAAGCTATTCGGTGCAATTTAAACTCCGATTTTCAGTTCATTGCAGCGTCGACATGGATGCCAGCCCAGTAAAGAAAACGTAAAGAAGGAAAAAGGTTGTTCAGATAAAAACTCTCATTCAATCACCCGACAGTAGGTTATATGTTCGCACTACTATTATATTTTAGCCGATGAATAGGACTTTGTGCAATGATACCATGCATGGGACATGCGCGTCCAAGGCACGAATATAGTGAAAAACGCTGAACCTCTTCTCGCTACCTTTTCTTAAATACAATGCACAGTTGTTATTTCAGTTTCCGAGCACATTTGGGATTACAGCATTACAAACAATGAACTTCCGTTGCTGAAGTTCAAGGTGCGTTAAAAAGTATAATTCGGTGATCAAAATTTCGTCCATAAGGTATACATTTACACTGCTAAGGGCCAAAAGTCTGGTTATTTAGGGAGCTATAATACTTACACGACGACACACGCTTTCGCTGCTTGCGCGGAAGGGATACATATTCCGCCAACGTTACGCGGTAATCGATTACCGACTGGTAAGTGCGTACTACCACAGTGACGAATTATTCGTCACCCATGGCGCGCTGAAGATCACTTGCGCTGACATATAGTACGGTTAAAAAGACAGAGTTAGCGACCTAAACAGCGCCGATAATTATTTAGAACATTAATTAACCATATCCATGGACATATAAAGACATTTATCTTCATCTCCTTTTGCTTCTCCGCGACTGGCCAAAGGCCGGCTTCAGTACGAGGACTCGCTGTACATATGTTTGGATAAAATGATAATTCATAGGTACAATAATGCTGCTTCCATGGGCGTGTCTCGCATAGTCGAGAATAAAATATTTATTTATTTCATTTATGATTTTACAAAATCTTCGCTGTTAAAGAAGCCACTTAATTATGTCTGCTATGATGCATCCACTGCTATGAAACTCACAAACCCCAAGTGTTACTTATTTCCTTATATTAATAATGCGTTTCACATTAAAATTCAGAGGCTATAAATATCGGCACAATAGGAGACTAATTAAGTAGTCCAGGACGAAACTAACGGTGGACGGCAGTTATTTTTAATAAATGGGCTCAGAAACGGTATGCTTATCTTTTATGACTTGCAGGGAATAATTTCTACTTTAGTTACCAATATTGCATTAGTGTTACGCATGTTTAAGGCAAATATAGCTGCATGCATTACACACTGCGATGTTTCCCCATCGATACGTAGACGCATAGTAACGCTAGTTGGATATTAGCAATTTTGCAACACAGCGTGCCCAGCTGATTGAGTGCACACCAGTTTGCATTCATTTTAAAACCGCATTGCTGCAAATCTCGTCAGTGTTCAGTGTTTCGTCTAACAACATCTAGACAAGACGCCGAGAAGCCGCATGAAAGATAACTCACGGAATATTAACGGACGCTCGAGCCAACAAGCTTACCACAAAAGTGAGCTTTTACGGTATACGTCGCGGAAATCCAATGTTTTTAACGGACTTCCAGGACTGCGAATTAGTTAAATACAGCATCGATGAAAACAGGCGACCTTATTTTGGCTTTTAGCATTACAATACGCCTACTGTGCAATACTGGGCATAAAAGTGTGGAAGTTTTGTCTTATTAATTTACCAAATTTACTGCATTTGGTCAACCGTATTGCCGAGCATTCGAGTCGGCAGCAACCGGTATATAGCTTTTTAGCATACTAAAACACGGGACTCTCACATCTGAGATTTGCCTAGCGGCGGGTTTGGTTCGGTAGGTATGCTAGGCCAACTTCAGAGGTTGTCATAAGATGGCGGTTTGTATATATAAATACTATACACATTTTAACTCGGTGTATGTTTTCTATTGAAGGAGGTTAATGTGGTTCTCATTGTTAGTTGTTGTGGTAGACAACAGGAGTATTGGAATTCACTTGGCGCCACGTTTGTAACTGTCATCATGGCGGATGAGCTTGTCTTTTGGTGCGTACTATTATCGGAAACTTGATGAGGTTGCAACTGCCACAGCTTTTTGCAAGTATACGGCTGTGACTCCACAGTATTATGAACGGCAAAGGTGGAAGGGGTTGCCACGTGAGTACTGGTACGTGCGGTATCCCTGTGTTCATGGCAGGCGTATCAACGTTCCTGGGAAGCAGTAGGTTGCTATTTTTACGGTATAATAAATGCTAAACCGTTACCGGATACTGGATTGCTGAGCCCATTTCTCTTTCATGTTGAATTTTACGAACGAGAGGAATTGCATTTGTGTCTTTGTCATGGTTTCCATTTTGGGAAGTCATGGCTATATCCACAGAACAGGCGGTTGACGGAGACGCGGGAGGAAGGGGGGTTTCCCTGGCGTCCGTGTTCAACTTGCCAGAAGACACCAGCAAGTTGTCCGGTCCTGAGTCTATTTGTTCACTGTCGAATGTCAGTTTACCTGTTAGCAACGACCTCGTTAGTAACAAACCCTCAGACGGCGTGTTTCATTCGTCTGCTAGCGAAGGAGAGCAGCAGGTTCCTGCCCTTGTTAAAAGAGAGCGAAAGAGGGTTAAAGAAGCGGCAAAACCCAAGACAGACATGAGAGGTCCGTCGGGCTCCCATTCCCTCTCCTCTAATTCTACTACTACGGAAACATCTACGACATTAGCCTATAAAAGCGGACCTTATTTTCAGAAACGCCGCTGAGTCTTATGCTGTTCTCCCAAGAGACCGTAGGCTAGGTGACCTTCAGTGGTTTAGAATATGCGTTACCAAAATCCCGGCTTCCCCCGCGTGACTGTGCGCAAACTAACCAGACTCGGTAACTTGCCAGCTAACAAGTCTCGCCCTCGCTTGTTGCGAGTTGTTCTGTGCACTCCGGAGGAGCGCAAAGCACTTCCGCGTTTTGCTTTCAAGCTCAACGGCACTGGTGTCATTGTGCACCCAGACCTCCCGTTGGCGGATAGGCTGAAATTACGGGAAGCTGTGAGAGATCTTAAAGCCTGCCGTGAAGCAGAACTAAAGGGTCTCCGCTTGGTGGGTTTTCGGGTGGTTAGCCGGCGGTCCACATCCGCACTACCAAAGCCTGTTCTGGGAATGCACGATCCCGGACTCACAATGTTAAATCCTTTCAGGTGATTTTAAGCAATGTGCGTAGCCTGCGAAGCAAGCTGTGCGAAGTCGGCTGCCTTGTCGACGATTGCCGTCTAGACGTTCACGCATTCACTGTAACGTGGTTGTCCACGGACGTCGCTGAAATTGAGGTGTGCTTGCCGGGCTACGCACTGCTGAGATGTGACCACACCTCTGATCAGCGCGGAGGTGGCGTTGCTCTGTATGTTAACTCCGCACTTACTGTCTTTAACACGTATAGTTTCAGATCATCAGAGGGTGATGTTGAGGCGCCAGCAGTTAACCTGTGTATTGCCTCCGCGCAACTTAAAGCTGTGCTGGTCTATAGAAGCCCCGACAGCGTTGCTAAGGGGCTTGCTGATTTCATCCGCGAGCACTCGGCCAATAGGTGTTTAGTGATGGAGGAATTAAATCTTCCCGAGGTTGACTGGCGAACTAGTTCCTTCGACGCAATTACATGGTGTTTGGCTATCGAGGTTCTCCAGCTGGCCTTGCATGCTTCCCTGCAGCATTTGTCGATGGGCCTACTAGATATTTGATGGGTCAAAACCCGTCCCTCATTGATTTGATCTTCGCTAAATGCATTGAATTTGTCACGGATATGGTATACCACGGTATGGTATGGTATGCCACGTGATTGAAAGGAGGCGACTATTGTTGCCACCCACAAGGGGGTTCTAAGTCGGTGCCTCTTAACTATAGACCTGTTAGTTTGACCAGCATTATGCTGAAATGCTTGGAAACGCTTATAAGGAACAGGATCCGTGAGCACTTGACTGAGCACAATCTAATTAGAGCAGAACAGCATGGCTTTCTCAAAAAGAAGTCTTGTCTTACCAAGTTACTGTGCTTTTTAGACGAGATTACCCGTTGTCTTGATTGTGGGATAACGGTAGATGTGTGCCATTTGGACTTCGGTAAAGCCTTTGATTCCGTGAATCATCGATTTTTTAATTGAGAAGCTGACTTGGGTTGGATTGCATCCTCAACTATTACAATGGCTCTCTGAATTCTTACTTAGAAGGACATTCAGAGTCAGCGTTAGGGAAGCGCGCCCTAGTGTTGGCTATGCCTACAGTGGTGTTCCCATGGTTCGGTTCTGGGTCCATTGCTGTTTCTTACGTTTATAAATGACCTGGCTCCTCTTCTTGAGGATCCCTGCTACATCTTCGCAGATGACTTGAAGCTAGTCAGTAGGGGAAACCGAGCGACATTGGATAAGGACATCATCACTGTGGCGAATTGGTCAAGCCAATGGAACCTACCTCTAAATGCCAACAAATGTCAACTATTGACTAGTAGTGGTAGTGGAATTGCGGTTCAGTCTTCTGTGGGGTCTCTATCATTGCGGTGTACTGACGAAGCCCGTAATCTAGGTGTCACCGTAGCGAACAATTTTAAGCCTTCGGCACAGTGTTGCCATGCTGCCAATAAGGCACGACACGAGTTATTTCGTCTTAGGAGGGCGCTGAGTAACACTAAAGCAGAAGTATTCTTGCCCTTATATAAAGCAGTGGTTAGGCCACATCTGGCGTATTGTGTTCAGGCCTGGTCACCGTACCTCCGGAGTGACATCATTTGTATGGAAAAGATTCAGCGACTTGCGACCGGGATGATTGAAGGTCAACGAGGGAAGTCATACGAAGATCGTCTAAGTAGCTTAGGATTATTTTCCTTGGAACGGCGTAGGTTGAGAGGGGATTTGATAGAGACGTTTAAGATCATTACGAGACTTAGTGGTATTAGTTCCACCCATCTGTTTGAGTTGGCCACGTCAGTCCATCTGCGCTGGCATCGCCAGAAGCTCAAACATCACAGAGCTCGTTTGGACATCAGGGCATAGTTTTTTATGAACCGAGTAGTTAACTACTGGAATAAACTTCCTTCTGATTTAGTGGAGTCTGAGACTGTAGAAGTCTTCAAAAGGGGCTTAGACAATTGTTGGTCCATCCCTTTTCCAGAGCTATTGTAGATGTACTGGTATATGTAGTGTATCTTGATGCTGGCATATGAAAGTGC